AGCAGCAGGCGAGCCTCGCAGCTGTACTGCTTTCAGCTAACGTAACCAAGCACAAAAACACAAGGCCATTCAGCATTAACAGAAGCAGAAAATCTTACCTTGATGGAGTGATGCAGAAACAAAGGGCAACTGAGAAAAGCTGACGAGTTGCTGGTGTTATAAAATCCACAGCAGGACATAACATCTCCCATCTGTCTGACAGTTATGACAAACGACAAACCAACAGTTGAAAAAGCGTGACAAACAAATGTTATTGACTGGGGACAGCAGCAACAGCAGAAGCAGAAAACATGACTATTCCTCCACAAAGCTGTCCTAAAGGCAACATTACCGGACTTTTAGCAGTTTAGCTGGTTAATTAAATGGCACACAAACGACAGCAGTGAGCACAGGAGAGTTGGCAAGTTAGCAGCTCAGCAACAGCAACAGGTAGAGACATGGTAGTTTAAAAAACCCGCCGTAAAGTTTAATATAAGGGTCACGACCAGCAGGGTATCTCATCATGTGAGTGAAGCTGCTACTGGCTCAGAGGCTCACTTTGTAGGATACTCCAGTGGTTCCCAACCTTTTTCCTTAAAGGACCCCTTTTTCTATCACTTTATAAACTGATGACCCCTGCTTATGTGACATATTTTAATATTTTATATTATATTCAAAACTGAAGCACAATACAATGTACAACGAAGCCAAATAGTGAACTCAATAACTGCAACAAGTTTGTTTAAAACAAGTAATTTGGATACATTTTGAGCAGATTTTTTCCCGTTTAGAGAACTTTTTATACATTTCTCTGTCTGTATTGTATATTTTTTTTATAATTTTTAACAATCGTACAGACTTAATAGGCTTTTTTTTTTTTTTAATTCAATGTTTTCTTGTCCCTGATGCTTAGCCATTGTTCTCTTAGACAATTTACTTTACATTTACTCTTCTTTACATAACTGAAGCCAATACTGAGATATAGGCCTACTGTGTATAGTTTTCTAGCACACCATAAAATCAATAAGGCCTCTCGACCCCCCATAAAGCTTTGGCGAACCCTAGCGGAACCACTGAAAGAGTTTACTGTTAATTAACTGAAATAAGTAAAAACAAAAGCTCTAACTAGCGATGGAAATGCCAGCTCTTTTTTAGTGAGCCAGGTCATTTAGCTCAGCTCAGCAGTAAGAGCCGGCTCTTTTGGTTTCCAAATGATTCTTTATTCTGTACTACCACTTCTGGCCTTTATAATTTAGCAAACCATTTCTAATATCCAATTTTTATCAATATTTTGACCAATGATTTTTATACAATCATCATTTTATATGAGGCTTGGTGGTTTTTTTCTACAAAATACTGCTGTTAGGCATAGTGACACAATAAAAGGATATACTGTAACCTTTAAACCAAGACCAGTTGACATGTATAGTCAAAAGAAAAGAAAAATTATGAAATAATAGTCATGATCACCGCAGTACTCTAACACAGAGGCAAATGTGTTACATTTGTTTATGCCTTCCTGTCATGCAACCTTTACTGACCAATCATTTCAGAAAATGTAGAATAACTATAGCCTCTTATTTTTTACCAATTACCTGTTTGAAACAGCATTCCACAGAGCTGCATGGACATGCTGAGGGATATCCTCGATCATTTTAAAACCCTAATGCTCAAAACCGTACCTTAATATAGGAGAGAAAGTTCAAGAAAGCCTGCAGCATGCAGGGTAGCTTAGTGTGCTTTGCAGCTGTAGTGTGTGTGTGTACCGTGTGCTTCCAGTCCCACAAGTGGATATTTTGGGGAGTAGGACATCTCAGGACACTGAACAAAAATCTTTTTTCAGAAATGCTTCAATAAAACCAATATTAGTTTTGTCACATCCCAGAAAGAGTTGTGCAGAGTTTGCATGTTCTCCCTGTATTTGTGTGGGTTTCTTCCTCCCACAGGCACCTCTAAATTGCCTGTAGTTGTCAGCGTAAGTGTGGTTGCCTGTCTGTGCTGTAACACACTGGTGACCTGTCCTGGGATACACTCCAGCAACCTCAAGCTCCTGAACAGAAATTTGCGAGTACAGAGATGGATGTTAAGAATCGGTGTAAAATACCACAGCTGAAAATGAGAAGCAAGTGTCATTTAAAACCAAATTCAATGACTCAGCAACAATACGAGGGTTCCTTGAGGAGATTGCTTCCAATAGCGTACCTGTGCATCAGTGCACCTACAGTCAGTAACGGCAGTGGAATTATCCAGTCTAAATATTAACCAGAACTTGTTTGCCTAGTTAGTTTAATAAAAAACATGATGCAGTCTTGTTGATAAAATATGATTTGTTGCTAAAGTAGGTTTATTTGTAAGTTAATGAAATTTTAATTAGGTTTTTATAAATGATTAAACAAAATAGTGGTGGACTCAAGTCAGCTGGATCACACTAAGCTCTGGCAAGATAAAAAAAAGCCTCTGACTTCAGCAGCACTGCAGTGATCACGGAATTAACTGACAAAGACAACAGAAATGAAAGAGTTGTTCTCTTCCATGCACATTCTTCAAAAAGGATCCCTCACAAAGATGCAGATATTTACATAAAAACCAAAGATTATACAAGCTGCAGCTGGCATATAGTATCTGGAATTGAATTCATTTATGGAGCAGACATCTGCAGAGCGTATTTTTCAAAAATATTTTCTGCTATTTCCTGAAAAACATCAAGAAATGGTAAAAAAATCCAATATATCCTTGATTCACACAACTGCTCATTCATCCTGTAATCGCTGCAATTGTTTCTTTTTCCCTTTCAAAACAGAAAGGTGTCACAGTGAATCAGAGATGATTCAGACATAAAGCTTGACTGTGCAAAAAAGCATCTTGATGACAGTAAACACGGCGGGAATTAATTGGTCGCAAGAGGGCTGATTTAGAACAAAAAAAAAAAAAAAAAAAAAAAGAATCCATGTAAAGGGTGAAATTTAGTCTTTATTTAAGGCCCATGGAGGGCACTGCATGATAGCTGGGAGATTAATGTGTTGTAGTGGTGTGGTGTGGTCTCATGATTCATGTCTGTGTCTTTTGTTTGTTTCTCGAATAACAATCAAAGGTAAAATAAACTCATGGTTCAGTTACATAAGGACAAATCAGGGAGAATTTACACCTTGCAGGTGCAAATATGCAGTTAGGCTGGACTGGGAGGAAGGATTGTTGTGTAGTACAGTATAGTTTGTGCTATTTAGCTCAAAAAAGTGTATCAATAGTGCCACCACATGGAAAGGCCTGAAAGATTCCAATGGCTTTCTGTAAGCCAACATCTCCCCTTAAAAATCATAGCTTCTAGTGTTAGATTTCAAGCAACATTAATAAGTAAATGTAAATGATGTAAAAAGTGTGTTAAAGTTGTCAACATTGTCAACAGATTTTTACCTAAATAATGGAGAAGACAGACCACCAAATAAATGTTAGAACATCAGCTTTTATATATTCAATTCAAAATCATAGGAGCAGGCAATAAAAACATTATGAAAAAGCAACCAAGTAAATCATTTAACAACTTGACAGGGTGAAAGTAATACACTGCAGAAAATCAATATACAACAAGCATATTTATTTTAAAATATAAATAAAATATGCAAAACAGTGGTTTGCCGCAAGCATCTTTCGAGTAGATCTTAGAAACGCTCCATCACAGTTCTTTAGTGACTCGACTCCATCCATCGCCATATATGGTGTCCACCAGTGGTAACAGCTTTACCAAAATATCACCATGACAGAGGTTTTAAGCAGGCACAGTCTGCATCCGTAATACTGTTGACGTCTGTTGGTCTCCAGACTGGTCGCAGGGAAGGCAAATAGGTCAAACACGTCACAGTCATGCTAGGACATCCTCTGGAGGAGCTCATCTGGTGCTCCTCCTCAGGCTCTCCACAGTCTGCAGGAAGGACCGCTGGGCTTGGTCCTCCTCCAGGGTGGAGCAGTCCTCCTCCTCCTCCTCGATGATGCCACACTGTACGCAGCGGAGGCGGGGCTCACGTTGTCCAGCCCTGCAGACACAAGCTGTGGCCAGAGACTGGGGGAACTCCTCCATCACCAAAGGCAGCAGATGGGCAGGGAGCGTGTCCATGCTGGTCGCCATGGTGAACAGTGGCCCAAATGTGAGGATGATGAGCTGTGGAGAGTGAAGCTTAGAGTAGATTGGCGTGGGATGTAGGATTTAAAGCCTTTTGTTGAAATCTCTGGTGTGTCTGTTCTGCTGTTTCCACAAGTTTTGGTACAGATGATGCAAAGGAAAAGATGAAGAAAAAAGAATATGAAATACAATACTCAATCAGTGAGAGCTGTTTAATATTCAGTCCTGAGGGCTCTGCTTGATGAGAGATGATTTGAGAGATCCTGTTTTGCTCTTTTTCCAATGTGCTCTTCGCTCTAAAACTCTGCTATGAAATCCCAGAGTGTGTCAATGTGTGTGTGAGTCTGAGTGAGCCGTGGACTCTGAGCACCACCAAGCTCCTCTTTATATACATCTCTGCAACCCACTCCTTTCTTCCTTTGGGCATCCCTCCACACACACAGCTCCTCTACCCTCCTACATTGTCAGCGATGACACATTTCCGCAGCTTCCATACCAGTGCACCGGAATAATCTCCCAGAAACTGTTGGCATGGGAACCGGACAGTAATGTTTGGGAGGGAAGAGGCAGAATGTGTAAAAGCAACACATTTGTATGGACTGTGAAAATGACGAATAATGGTAAAATCACTCAAGGAAGTCATATGAGCTGGTTGTAAAATGATAACAGAAAATATAGGTTTATACGGCATTTACGTTGAACTGAAGACTATACAAAGCCAAAGCAGAAAAAGACAAAGGACTGGAAGTTTTTTTTACCTTATTTTTTATTTATGGCTGAAAGGACAAACACAATGCAGTTTTCTATGGACACCATAATGATCTGGTTTGCTCTGCTTTCACCTCAAACTACATGCATCCCAGTAATGAGAAATACACCTAATACCCACTACCATTAACCTGGACAAAAGAAGTGAAGTTGGTCCCCGGCTGCTGCACCTAAATAGTTATAATGAGTGAAACCAAGTAAATTAATACATTATAATCTGAAGATGTTATCTCAGCAGAGACAAATTAAATTAAAAAAACTACTACTGCCAAAAACACACAAACTCAACATACATGTAGTTCTCAAAAGAGAAAGTCAAATAAGTGTATCAGAGATTTGACACCATTTCATTGGTTTGTCTTGTATACATTTGGTTTGGTTTAGAGTTTTAGTATACATGCGAAACCATTGAGATTAATGTAGAACAAACCACCTACTTATTAGGGTTTAACTTTATCTTGAGAGAACTTTCTGGAACTTTTCTGGAACAGTAAAATCAATTTAGTATGCAAACATAGCACAACATTCAATAATTACCACAACCGTTTCCCTCTGTGCTGGCTATTCATCTACAGATCCCCCAATTATTTTTTTTACAGTTGAAATGTAGTTTGATTCAATTACACGTTGTTCCCTCACCAGCACGTCGGTAGAGAAAATATTAAGAATAAAAGCAAACAATTCATCTTAAATGACTTTGAGTTGGTGCTCAAGGAGAAAGGTGTAAATCTCAGTGCTTTTAAACCTCTGATGTTAAATGAAAAAAAAAAAAAGATCCCAAAGAATGAGGGATTAAGAAAGCTATTATCACAAAGGAGTACCACCTCCGTTGTTCGACTATATAGCTTTAAGCTAGACCACACAGTTAAAAGCTGTCCCGCGTACTCACAGGAGACTCAAACATACAGAGGCCTCCGACTTCGGACACATCCAAATTATCGATATGCTTCCCTTATCACGAAGGCTTAATGTTCAATCACGTTTTGCAGACAGATGGGTATTTTTTGGAAATTGTTTTTAGTTTCCATGTTAAGTGTTCAATTTATTAAAGCTGATCACTCACAGAAGAGCACCGTTTTATTTATTCACACAACTGTTTGGATTGAATACATGTAGCGGCAACCGTGGCCAAATACTGTCTCACATCATCTATGACTGAGAGTATCAGAGGGAGGGAAACTGAGGTGTTGCCCAGAAACTGTCACGTTTTCTCTTCTTGGTCCATGATGATGATGGTAGTCGGACGAGTCATTAACACAGCTGGTCCCCTCTGTCTGTTGCTGCCGCTCCCAGCCGCTGCCCATCTATCTATCCCTGCTTCTGCTTCTTGAGGTAACGAGCGCGTTGGGACAAAAGCATCCTCGTCGTGTAGCTGTTGACGATCTTGGCAGGGAGCAGAGCTGTAGACACCCAGCCCTACATAGGGGAAATTACATGGTCAGCTGGTGGCATTTACAAATAACAGATTAGCATTCATTATTAATTTCCAACCCACAGGAGCAACAACTGTGGCAAGCAAGTTTGTGCAAAGGAAAATTCAGCCAATTGTTCAGTTTTAATGCCTAAGCTCTTCTCAAATAATGCCAAACTTAAAGGCATTTTAAGTCTCTACAGCAGCTGCACACATCAAGCTTTGGTTTTTATTTGAGATAACTTTTGTTATGATTTGGCGCTATAAAAAGACAATTGAATTGTAACAACTTAGTTATAAAATATAGTCATCTTATTACCAGTGGTGAGCATTAGTAGGCAGTTCAAATTACAACTTTCAAGTCATTTTCTGCTTTACCCATGATGTCAGGTAACTTAGGTTTAACAGCTTTCCAGACAATAGCGTGGCAGTTGAAACTGTTGAAGAGCCCCCCCACTGTTTTAAATCCTTTTTTAAGTAATGAGAGGTTTTATGAAGCATCATCAATGGTTCTTTCATTGGATTACTATTACACCATATTCAGTTAATTACTAATAGCTTTCCTCTCAGTTGTATTATTTTCATTTCTCATGCTAATCTCCAGAAAATTTGAATTTTGATAAATTGACTTATCATTAAATCCAAGGTGGATACAATAATGCCAAAATTAATTTGAATTATAGACATGGTTGAGGGCACATTTACTGTGTTTAGAAACACTCTCGCTATTTAGAAATGTTCATTGGGTCACACTTTGTTTGACCCAACAAAAACCTGGGCTTGAATTTGAGCTTGTTTTGATAGGGGGACTCTTTATAAGCACTCTCGCTTTTCATATCCATTTAGTTTTCATTGTTGTAGGTCATTTACCATGGCATCTTACTTGTGCAACCAAAAAATATTTAAAAAAATGAAGTACAGCAAAGACGAAGGTCGCAGATTGCAGCTTTCTAGCCGTCTTGCTTTGATATTGGTGAATTGTGGATTAATACTGGGAGACGGGCAGAGCTGTACTGCACATTTGAGAGGAAAGGGGTTTTTAAGATAATCAGAGCACACACCACTTGCCTGCAGCTTGTGGTCTAGTGAAATATAGGGGCTGATGACAGTAAAGATCTGTGCTGAGTTCACGATATCTGCAAAAAAAATCTGTTGACTGCACAGGATCAACAATGGCTTCATTTGATTTATTGACCATCTGTGTGCTGTAATCGATGGCGTGGTTATTTATACGTATGTCAATAAACACGATCATTGATATCCAGATCACATAGTTCAACAGTATCCAACACAACATGAAGGAACTGGAAGAAGAAAATGACTGTAGCTCTCTGTAACCTTAAAAAAAAGAAGAAAAAAAAAAAAGACAGCGTCTGAACTAAATTTGCGTTTCCGTTTCATTTCTGATGCTCGTGTCACTACAGAGTAATTACAGTGTTAGGATGCAGACAATACTGCAAGGTAGTGGAGCATGTCATCCATTATTTCAGATGATGTTTGCCTTTTGACAGATGCTTTAGCAACTGTTGACACAAAATTAATTTAGTGAATGGAGTTGAGCAGGTAGGAAGTTATTTTGTATAAAGTGAAATTACAGCCTGATGAGGTTTCACTTCTGTTGCCACGAGATACCTCGACTACCTGTAACACGACTCAGTTTTTGTAATGAGTGTAGCGCTGTACCAGATTTATTACATCTACAGAGAAACCAGTTGTGTTATATGCTCCAGCTGTGTTCCCCCTACCTGCCAAATACTCAAGGTACATTTCAGTTGTTCAGGCTGATTACATAAATTCCCTACAATATGCGGAGGAAGATTTGGCCTGCAGTGTGATGAGAAGTTCCAACTGGCTGAAGCACTTTCAGCAGATCTTGAGTCATTCTGAGTGGTCAGTTTAGTGTCCACGCAGATGACAAAACAGTAAAGGTCCTCTCTTAGCTTCCAATGTCGGTCTCCATAAAAGCAAGCATTGTTAGTTACTGCCAGGCATTAAATAAAAACAGGTAGAGAAAGAATAACGTTCTGTATTGTATAAAGGAACTGTACTTGTCAAGCTATCATGTTGTTTCAAGACATAATTACATAAATCCAGGCTCTTCAGCAGCCTGCAATGTGTTTCACCTCGTTCTACAGAGAGACTGCTTGACAGCTGACGTATTACAATAGATTGTGGCTCCAATCAAACTCATTTCAGCTTGACTTTGGTTGATGGGTGAACATTTCAGAGAGAGTTAATTTAATATTTTAGAGGTTTTAGTGGAAATCAAAATGAAGATAAAATCTGAATGAGTGAAAACAATAAATAGAATGCATTTACATGAGACCTTTGGCTCTTTGCTTTCAGTATTACATACCCAGACTTACCATAATGGCGTGGGGAAGGTAGCCGTTGGTCTGGGTCTGTAGCCCCACAGTGTTGAGCTCAGCTGAAACATAGCGCTCTGGACTGGGCTTGCCCAGCGTAGGTCGGCGGATTTTACTCAGCTTGGTTGCAACAAAAAACGGCAGAACACTCTGGGGCAAAAATAAGGAATTACAGGAATGAACAATGTGTCTAGTTTCAAAGCTTGCTAAAGTACTGACGGTGGTGAGATTTATTTTTATTAAGCCAACAAAAGGGTCTTCCTTCAAATAGAATTTTTAAATATAGTTACAAAGCACCAAGCTCAATCCAAACCCTGTGCACTTGCAGCAGAATAACTACGGTCGGTTCATGATTTACCTGGACAATGATGCCTTTGCTCTGGTATTCAGCTTGCAGTCCTCGTGAAAAGAAGTCCACAAATGCCTGTTTAAGATAGAGGCAAGTCATTAAGGCGAAAACTTCAATTCCAGTGAGAAACAGATGGCATTGAACACCAAAAAGCCATGGGATTTCCATTCTCAGAGGGATAAAAACATATTCAATACAGAATCTGCTGTGCAAAAACTAGCAGAGAAGAAATATGTGCACCGAATTAATGTACAATGTACTTTCACAATGTTAATGGGAGCTGTAATGAACTAAGATGATCATTAAACTGTGCATTAAACTTAGGATTCACCCTAGATGGATTTTAGATGCACTTTTAAACTTGCATAGTAGAAACCGGCATTTAGTAGATAAACATGACCCAGTATTAAGAAACCAGCAAATTAATCAGTTGAAACTGTGAACAGCAGGCTGTTTTTAAGCTAACAAACACACATGAGACGGTTATAAAACATTACGATGCCACATGCTCCTATAAACATTTTTAATTGGTACACTACCTCGGGACCTGAGTTAGTCAGCGACTTATTTATATTCAACAATTAAAACAGCAAATATGAAAAAAAGACGATCCCACCCTTTATCCCTACACCTAAAATAAATGTTGAACTAACTTCCATCGTCATCACTACTTAAGTTTTGCCTCAATATATGTTGCTAGATCAGACAGAATAATTCATAACATGAGAACAAAGATGGATCTGTCCTCGTGGACCGCAGTATACGTTGAGATGTAAACCATTTATGATGCTGGGATGCAGCTATAGAGAACACTTCAGTTAACGACTGAGGACAACGTCATAAAAAATGTATTACAATTACCTTGGAGGCAGAGTAGACAGTAAGGAAAGGAACAGGGTACATCCCACTGGCAGACGAGATGTTGAGGATGGCCCCCTTCTTCCTGGGAACACAGGAATATAAGCATATGCTACTTTACACTGAAAACAAACAGAATGTACAAGAGAAAGGGGCGACATGCAACAAACAATTTCCTGAGATCAATCCCAGAACGATAAGAGAAGATGGTGCTATGTCTGCTTGCACGCTGAACAGAAACAGCTCTTGTTGTACATCAAAGACGAGCTGGTGGATATTGATAAGATCAAAGATACAGTAACATCCACCCCTAAATGTTTGCAATCTGAGGATATTTTTGCTCCAGCCTGTGGTGCTAGGTGTATGATATATTAGACATTACAATTACAAAATTATAGATGGCACATGAATCATTCATTTTCCATAAAGTAATAGTTCTGTTCATTAAAACTATTGTATATAGCTATTGAAAAACAAACCATTTGAAAGTCAAGTATAACATGAAATTTGAATGAACATATTTTAGTGTAGATCTGTTAGCTACAATTTGTGATTAAAACTCAATCTTTCATTGAGCTTTGTTTCCCTTTAGGTCTATTCGCTGCACTGGTCAGTTTCTGTACTATCAGTTGATGGAATTGATGATCAAAATATGTTAAATCTATGCAAAACGACAATATAAAATTTTTATTTTTGACATTTTAGGAGATAGGCTTATTTGTTCACTCCGGGAATCGAACCAGAAACCCTTAGATTACTAGATGACCCGCTCTACCATCTAAGCCATGATCTAAACAAACGAGATGTAACATTAGTGAGTTTTAGGTGTGTTGGTAGGCATGTTTTTATCTCTGCACAGACCCAGGCTAGCCTTAATTACTACAGATTAACAGAGAGCAGCAACATATTAACAAATACTGTCAGACAAACTTACCTCTCCACCATTCGAGGTAAAACCAGACGTGTCATCTGGAAAAAACAAAGGAGAGGGAGGGAGAGAGAGAGAGAGAGAGAGAGAGAGAGAGAGAGAGAGAATGTGACAAGTGTGTGAAACAATAAAAGTGATAGACCAAAAAAAAAAACAGTCTATTAATGTGTGTGGGCTGTGGAGAAGTGTGTGGAGGTGTACATCCATATTTGTAAACCTGCGTGTGTGGGTTGTGTGGAGAGGTGATCGGGGAGGGAAGACAAAGAGAGAAAGGGAATGATAATGATAGCAGAGGGAGCAGTTTAAAGAAATATTGAATGACATAAATTAAGTGCTAAAAGAGTGGGCGGACTTTAGCTGTTGCTCTGGGAACTGCAGAACACAGAGAAGAGGGGCGGAAGTGACTTACTATGCTTTATGTCACTGTGTTGTGTCTGTGTGTGTGTCTTTATTGTTCTGTGGGACTACCTGACAGAGCGTCTCAAACTATATCACCATTTGAATGCACTTGGGCAAATTTAATCACTCAAAAGGCAACCCAGAGATGTCACAGTGAGACATACTTATTTTAGATAATGTCTGTCTGAATTGTCTCTGAATTGACTCTGTAAGAGTATTTGAGAACATTTTCACACTCCTTAAAACATTTTTAATTATTTCTAGTTTGAACAGTTTTTGAAATATTGGGAAAACTTTCAGCGCCCACAAGTTCAAAGCAGAAATATTTATCCACATAGACACAAGGCTGTAATCACTGCCAAAGTTGCCTCTACTAAATATCGCCTTGAAAGGGAAATACTTATGCAACTAGTTTGATTTGTTTTCTCTTTGACATTAAAAGGGTGCATTTTTGTTGATCAGAGTCAAAAAGCCTCCAGTCCATCAATGCTTTAAAATAATAACACTCACCTGGCACACTGACATTATGTTAATGTTGACCATGGTGTCGATGAACTGAAAAAAAGAAGAAGAATAGCATCACTACACTGAGGCTGGTGTGTTTGTGTATGGAGTTATATATATTTGTCCAGAAATGTAGACAATTGTATCCGTTCAAGTACAACTGCAGGTATCAACGTTATCCTGAGATTATTTTGCACAAGATATTTCCTGAAATCCCAAAGGATGTTGACCCTAAAGCGACACTATGTAACTTCTGAAAGAGGAGATAGCACCTACATTCTCATACAAATGAAAAGTTAAACTCCTGAGCAATAAATCTACACTTTAGCTAACATTGCTCAGACATCACTGGGTCAGTTTGCTGACTTTATGACTCTTATCTACTTGTGCTACTGTTACACGCTTTTGCATTGTCTGCTGTTTTCCAACTGTGGTTACCGTTCTTTTGGTAATCAAGATACTGTAATTACAATATGTTAGCAATTACAAATGTATTTTCCAGTTAAGATAAAAGTACAATATTTGGGTCTTCCTCAGCTGGCCACCTTTGTGCAGTATCACTTTGTCTGAAACTATCTGCATGTTGTCGGCCCTGTTGTCTATTCAACTCACATTCATAAAGGAAGGAGCTGACCTGTAAAACTATCTATACAGTTAACTGGAAATGTTCCAGTTTTTAGTGGAGCTAGACTGATCAAACTTTCTTGAAATAATATGTATATAAAAAAACTAAATGACACAAACTATAAGCTATTATTACCACTTATATTCCATGCATATGTCTGTATTATATAATCATTTATACATTCATGGCAAATAGAATAATAAAAAACCTTTACAGAGTTACCAACTTACAGAGTCGATATTGGGGACGTTGAGGAAGAATTCAGGGTAAGAATAGGATATTCCCACATTGTTCACTGTTAAAAAAAGAAAAAAGAAAAGAAGAAAAGCACTGTCACAATCAAAATACTTCATAAATTGACAAACTGATGGATGAAAAAAGGATTACATTTTTGTAATACTGAGCTCAAAGTGTCATTGCTCTTTCCAATCTTAGGAGGGCAGCAAAGGGCTGAAGAAGCCAGGATAAATTAACCTTTATTATTACATGAAAAACTTACACTTAGCATAGTGTATTACACCACATTCCTGATATCTATAGGCCATGCCTGGGACGGAATTTATCATCTCATATGACCAACTAATATAATGGATTGTGAGGTCCATAAGCACCTGCTGCAGTCTTACCCAAAACTCCAATCTCCAGTCCTGCAAGTCCATCTTCAATCTTAGAGTAGATATCCAGAGCACTGAAGTCTGCCGCGATTGTTTTAGTCTCCACACCACATTTGCTCGCTGAGGGCACAAATATGCATATACATTTTAATTTTGCATATATAAAAACAATAAAAGATTCCAGAAGTCAGTACTGGCTGTGTAAAGCATTCACAAATTACCACATTGCTAACAAATAGTCATTTGGAAAGGGAAGAGCAGAGAGAGAAAAAAAAATTAAACCGTGAAATAATCCTTCATCATCAATGAGGATATCCCTCCCTTAAGAGGTAGCTTTCATTTAATTGGACAGATTCACTTTCAGCTCCAGCAGGAGGCTTTACTGCCTCATAACCAAAAGCATAAGAGTCCAGCTGAATCTCCACTCAATAAAAGGACCGCTTGTGAAAAACATGCAATTCAATGCAATATAATTTAGTCGTTAGTCATTTAGCCCTATTGGACTATCACACAGTGCAATATGGATGCAACATTTCAGGTTTGGGATAAATGAGGCCATAGAGCTGCATGGATCATTACGACTGAACTCCAGTCTAGCAGCTGTCATACTTAACACTATATTAGTCTTGTGCCTTTGGACCACAGGTACTGCTGATTTCCCTTGACTGTAAAATATGGGATTAGTTCCACTGATGGATTTAATAGTAGATATAGTGAGCTACACACTGTATTTTACTGCGATTTTACTTGAAACTTATCTAAAACAATCTTCCCTTTCAATTCATGTTCCCCATGTCAGGCAACATTTTATTCTGCATTTACACTGCATGTTTAAAACATAAACAATAAATGAAATAAACATGCAGAAAACTCACAGATCGCCTTGGAAACGTCATCCAGTTTCTCCTGAGAGCGGCTGATCAGAACGATGGCAAAACCTCTGCGGGCAAGCTACAAACAAAAAAACACTTCAACAATGGCAACACTTGTGTACTTCAACACATAATGCACAGCACTTAATTACGTTGGCCTCTAGTGATGATGATTGGTCTATTATCTTTTTGAAACAACGTCTTTTATTCAGAAAGTCAATTAAACAAGTGTTTGTAGATAGGCGTGCTTGAAAATAGAGTTTTGTACCTGTAATCCTAGCTTTATAAACTTTTACATTTGATTACTACCTGTAATTTCTGATCGTCTGTATATTCAGGTCATAGCAGATTTATTTTTTGTTGTTGGAAGGTTTAAGTTTGTGCGGTCAGATCCATCGAGCTAACTTCACAAGCTGAGAGGCAAACAATCTTGTTGCACGAGTGTGCAACAGAACTTCAATCACCTTCAGGTCAGTTTGTGCTCAGGAAGGTTCCCAACTCACCCGGCGTCCAATAGTTCTGCATTACTCAAATGGCCGTTTCTTCCGGGCCTCCACAACCCCCAGTAAATCAACAAGAACAACACGTTTTTAGAAGTAGGATTACAGCAACAAAACTGTATTTTCAGACACACCCATGGAAGTGCAAATACAAACAAAGGCTCAAGCTTACAAAACCCACATTACAGGTAGAAAACTCACAAGCACACCTTTAATGAATGATTTTATTAGGGCTGTAACTAACTTATTTTCATTATTATTATTATTGCATTATTTTTCTCATTCATTAATTACTTAGTTGTTTGGTCCATAAAATGTCAGAAAATGGTGACAAATGTTGATCACTGTTTCCCAAAGCCCAAGGTGTCCTTAAACAGATGGACTGTATTCAGTTTACTGTCATAGAGGATTAACGAAACCAGCAATTATTCACATCTCAGAATTTAAACATTTCCCTTCTAAAAAAATCTGTTATCAGTATGTGTTTGTTTCAGTTGGGACTCTGTATGTACAGAGTAAAGGGAGTCTTACCTCCTCCGCATAAGCTTTTCCAATCCCATCTGTGGCTCCTGTCACAACTAAAAGGGAAACAAAGGACATATAGAGACTGAATTAGCAGGACAAGGTATATACTGTTCTAAATGATAGATATAAAAACACAAGGCAAGATATGCCTTTCCATATTTACTATCTATTGCCATAGTTTCTTTCCATGAACATAAAACTGGGGTTCAATTGGCTGGTTCATTTAAACTGACAAAAGGAAGTCACACTGTCCTCGTAGGTTTTCTTTAATTGGAGATAAGGAGACTTTCCCAAACCATGTAAAGCCCTGGACCAAAATTAGACAAAAGTATGTGGACAGAGCTGTCTACATACCCTCACCTTGACATTTACACTATCACATAAAGGAGTAGCCACACGTTTAATGTATATTTGTATTTATCCTTCAAACTGTGGCCAGAAAACAGGTTGAACAGACTTCCCTGCAGCACATTAGCTTAGTGTCCGACCACACCTTCACAATGAGAGCTCACTGTAGTCTGCGACAAGCTGTTAGCTTGAGCTGCAAATTTGATTCTCACATTGCAGACTCATGAATGGAGGTGTATTTTCTTGATCTCCCTTGGTGTGAAATCAAGATGAATGAAGATGAAGACTAAGGGAAACAAAGCAGTGCTAGCCACCGTAGAGGAACAGACGAAGAGCACCACCTCCAGGAACTTTATCACCACAGAAATCGATAACAAAGATGTCAGAGTTATGGACTGTTTGACTGACAAGCGATCCCTGGGAAGTGCAGTACAAAACCACCAAGGATGGCCAAGCACAAAAAAGCTTTGTAAAAAATAAAATAAAGTGACTTTCAAGGGTGAAGGGCTGAATGTCAGGGAAGACAGATGTATTGCAGGACGAGGTACATGGAGAGCAGCCGAGGTGAATAAGGAGGACAAAGAGAGGGAGAGGGAGAGGGAAAGTTAGGTCTCTGGCTCTGTCATCAGTAGCAGTCGAGCGAACGGATGCCCTGGAACTGCCTGACACAAACAGCAGCAGCAGCAGGGGCCTATTTTTAGCAATTCCCATCTTTCAGAAGGAACTATTCATCACACCTCTGGCTAAATATAACAAAAAGTGGATGGGGAGTGGGATTGAGAGTCGGGGCGTTACAATATGTCCCTGTGTAACCTGAAAAGCTCGGCTTAAAGAGCAACATTCATCTTATCCTCGTATAAACCTATGTATTGTTCTTTATCTTGTGTTTGTACGTGTCAATTGTGTAATTTTTGTTCTGTTCTTATTTTAATGTTATTTTGTTCCCTTTGTTTTTGCATTGTGACCTACTTGTGTGAGTAAAGTGCACTTAAGATGGGAATACTGGTGGGTTGGTTGGGTCAAACCACATCAGTCTGGCTGGGTGCACTGAGCAACGCAGCCGCTAGGGTCTGCTAGCGGGGCTTTTAGACTCGTTGGCTCATTAAATACTACAAGGTGCATCAACACACTCTCTATTCAAGAAAAACTAAAAAAAAAGTACCCGAGACCAGTCTTGGTCAACTAAAGATTAGAACACTATTGACAAAGAAGTGTAGTTTGATGTTACGTTGGGTATTTATGGTCTGCTGCCAGGCTCAGGATAATTTAAGGACTTATTGTTTTATACTACAGCTTTCATTGTGTTTTTATATGCTGGAATTGAACCTGTGACACACAAACAGAAAAAAGCATCCCCCGTGGGACAATTGTAGAATTACACTGGTTACATTACCAAGTAATTTAATAGAACGGGGGCTTGGATGTATTTGATTGGCCAGTGCTGCTGGATGATGTTGCATTGATTAGCACAGACCCTGTGTTTTCTGCATCGGCACCACCAATGCAGTGTTCTCATTGAAGTGAATGAGGGGAATCGGATTTTGTTTTTCATTTTTAAAAGCATTTTTTTCATTGAGAGTATTTCAGAAATCATTCCATAATTACATCATAGGCTTCTGTAATTATTATCCTCTTACATGTTTTTACGCTGTTTTTACTCTATCGGTATGAATACAGCAAGATACTGCTTTGTGTTTTCAGTTACACTTGTTATATTATTTAAACTAGGAATGCACCTATTCAACTCAGGGTATCTGCCAATACAGAGCAACAATCCAATACCGTATATCTCACTGAATGCATTTGGATTCTTTTTTCTGTAAGGTTATGTAAGGCCAAGGATTGCTGTGTCACTAAAAAACTGAGTTGGCAGGCTGTTGTGACAGAAGGTCAGTGTCAGCATCAAGACCGATCTGGCAAATTAGCTTAGTGTATCCATAATCAAATAAAACACACACACATATATATTTATTTATTTACAGACCTAGAATATATAAAGATTAATACTGTTAATGTATGGGATTTTTCATTACAATAATCATCATATTGCTGAGCACTACACACCTGACCGTTGCAGTTTTCATGAACTGTTGTTTGTTCTGTTATCGCAATGTGTAATACAAATATCCCTGCAGAGGTAATAAAGTTTATTTTAAGCAAATATTTTGTTATTTTGACAATACTATTCATTCCTTCTCTTACTCATCTGTCTATCTGCCCTTTGCTGTACCCATCTCCCCTTTGTGTGATCTTCCTGAGTACAGATGATGCTGAGGTGCCAAGCATCCTTTCGGGCTGCAGCAGAGCCAAACAGGAGGGAGTGGGGGAGGAAAGAGGAGAGAAAATGACAAACACGAACATGGGGGATCCTGGGGGCAACTAAAAATAGCACAGGGAAGAGGAGGGGAGAGTGATGGAGAGTCTGCAGGCACAATGATGAGGGAAACATAGGCCGGGTTATTTTTAGTTGTTTTAAGAATGAAATGTTTTGCAGTCAGAACAAAAAAAAAAAAAGCTTTTACAGCTGAGTGCATGTTCCCTTCAGTCAAATAAAACAAGGTCTATTTTAGGAACTGCTGTCTTCTACAAAAGTAGGTTAGACTGACTAGGTATTCTGATGATAGTGCTACTATGTGTCCCCATTTGGTAGCCAACATCATTTTCTTGAATATAATTGGAGGACTGGCACTAAATCGCCGTTTTACATCTTCTGCACCTAAAAGAAGACATAAGAAGAAACTTATCCTATTTTCCAATTTTTTCTGACAAGCCAAAGACCTGCCCTACTTCCAGACTCACGTTCTCTCCGCTATGGATGTATTTGTAGAAATAATAGTTCATTTGTTCATGGTATCAATAAAAATGTTCTTAAGGTCCAGCCCTAACAGTGATTGATTAAGCAAAACTTTTAGTCAATTAATTGATTAATTATTAATTATCAGTTGTATCCTTAAAATGGCAAAAATTCTTTAGTACCAACTTAGCGAATGTGAGAATTTGCTGTTTTATATCATAATAAAGTCGCAGATTTATCCATTATGAAAATAATAATTAGTTGCAGCCCTTATTTAATGTGACATTGCACCAAGCACTAGTAGTACAATAATAATAATAATAATAAAACCACTGGAATGTGTACATAATTGAATACACAAAAATGTCAAAGCCCCAATAATCTAGACAGATGTTAGTTTGTACCACCAACAGGCTTGTGATCAGGTTCATAACACACAGTGCAATTTAAATGTAGGGCCCTAGCGCCGAACCACGTATGAGTACAGCTTATATTTGTATGGTGTAACATATGTTACACCATATGTGTATTAGATTGCCATCTATGGGAAAAACATCATGACTAAGGAAATTAGATTTGATTTTGTATATATTTGCAAGGGTGTAAAATAAATTGTAAATTTACATCATCATGTGGCCATATAATGTCATTATAGAAGCACCTGTAGAAGGATTGTGAGGTATACAATTAGCTGTTACTTTCTTTTTAGATACATGTGAATATCTTGCGAACTTGATTTATAAACCAGCTGTCTTATTATTAAAATATAACAAGGCAGCTATATTATGAATAATTGAAGCATTGTCTCAGATAGCAAGACGCCATTTGATTAGGATACCACTACAATGGCTCTCTGTGATACTGCCACAGACTCCCTTTCTCTCTCTCACACACACACACACACACACACACACACACACACACACACACACACACACACTCACACTCACACTCACACTCACACTCACACTCACAAAAGTGAGATGAGGGTACCAGTGAACCAGAATCCCAGGGATCCTGCGTCTCATTTATGAATGGCTCTCGTCTCGTTACATAATCAGGCCGTCCTCTCAATCAAGTTCACTTCACTGAGACAAAGTTTGTGAATGAGAGCAGCAGCCGAGGCCAACGGGCTCCTTTGCCTCATTGGATATTCTGAATCATTTTGCATGTGTAATCCAAAAATAAAAACCTGTCTGACGCGTTTCCATTTTTAGCTGCACACGAACGGATCAAAGGCGACTTCAGCTCGCAGCCTGAAAACATTTGTTTCTAAAGCAGATCAATGTGACTGTGACTCAACAGGTTGAAAAGACTGTGATAAAAATGATAAAATACTGTCCAAATATAAGCATAAATACACAAAATGGATGGAAATCGTACCCACAAACAGACTGTTAACAAGTGTTTTGTTCTTAATCTTGTGATTAATACTGACAATGCAGTGTAATATAACTACCTAAATTGACTTAAAGGTCTAGTGTGTAACATTTACGAGGATCTATTAGTAAATGGAATATAATATTCTAGGGTATGTTTCCATTTGTGATTGGGACAGATGCTGCAGGTCGCCTGCGATGGAGTCCACCATGTTGAGCTGCCATGTTTCTACAGTAGCCCAGAACGGACAAACTTTTGCATTTTTTGTGCTTTTCGCGACCACCGTAGTTTCTCCTACATACTTCACAGCCTGTTCTCATAGGTCGTCAAAGACGCCAGTTGTGTTCAGTTAGTTAAAATCTGAAACTTCACTGCTGGATGCCACTAAATTCTACACACTGGTCCTTTAAAATATGTCCTATTTCTTCACAAACTACTATATGATAGATGTTGAGCTCTTCCAAAACCTTTAGCCTAGGTTAATCACCGTTCAAAAAACTTCTAATACCTGTGGTCTAACAGGTTTTTGTATTAACATGTGAACTTTGGCCACCAGACTCGCCAACATTAAAGCAATCCCAGCAGTCTGTTCAAAGGTTCAAGTTTCCGTCAGTGAGCAGGCTGGACAGATGGACAGCATTCAGTCTGATTTGATAATCCCCTCGAGCTGTAATCCAATCACAAGATTTATTACAGTTCACACCAGAGGACAAAAGCATGATCATTCTCTGCCCATTCCTTATTTCATGTTAAAATTACCTCAGACTAACACTGTAGTCTGCTGTAGCTGGCACAAAGAAGCCATAATGTGTGCCAAGTATGTGCTGAAACAATATCAGAGGACTGGAGACTTCACAATCACCTCTACGAACCATTACACTTATTAGGCAAGACAGCTGTGACACAGCATAACAGCAGAGTACAGGTTGCCCATGACAAGATGTTCTGGACAAAAAGTAAAAAGGACTTAATTAAAGAAAATGTGCCTGCTAGTATTAGACATTCAGTGGCCACTGTTAGGTACATCTGTATAATGCAATGCAATCCAATACAACAGCTTAAAGTTTATAATGTCCTCTTATTGTTGACATTGTCCAAAATGTGGAAAATTCAACAATATATTTATTTCTCGAGGTCATAGTGTTTTTCATTTTTTCTTTCCCCAGATTTGCATTGTTGAGGGGGGCAGAATATTAGAAACAGCTGTCAATATACTGAAGTTCAGCATAACACAATCACTAAATATGTATTGTGAAAATGATTGAACCATGCTCTCACATTGATGGTGTATCTAAAAGAAAACTACTTTGTGAAGTGGTAAAAATTTTTTTTTTTTTTGCAGGAACACTGTAAATACTATCTATGGCTATATATATTATAAGCAGTACGTTTTTCCTTAATGCAGTTCCTCTGCCTCAGGCACGCTTGTCTAAGGCTTGGCCTTCATTGCTCAATGGGTTATCTACAGAACAGCCGAACAATATTTGTTTGTTAGACCATGAAATTTGAAGGCTTAAAGTGTAAAGTTCAGTTTAAAAGATAGTTAATAAGATGCTATTTGCTACTGCTACAAAAAAGAAAACACTAAATCAAAGTATGACTGCCTAAATTAACTGGATACTAGTCTAAGGTTGTCAAAAGCTGAGCTGCTGCATACATCAGATATAACAGACTGTAAGGTTCTGCCAGAAGAGGTCAGTGAACAGTGCTGTTAATGCTCCACGTTGGATTTCTCTTTTACACAAACACACAACAACAAGCCAAGTTGGAAAAATGTGACAATGAATGAATGATGTGATGAAATAGTTACAGAAGAGATGATGCAGTAATGCAGTAGTAGTTGGAGTTGAATGTACTCTATTACTCTTTACTATGTTTGATAATAAACATTCTTGTGAGTTCTGTGGATTACAGACACAAAGCATTGAGTTATATCTTCTTATATGTTGGCAGGTTGGATTCATGTTTAAAGAAAAATATAATAATCACAGCTTAGACTTAAAGTTCGTGTTTAATTCATTGTGTTATATTTTGGTTTATTACTTCGCTCTTTCTTTGCAAATAAAGCTCCTACGGTTCAACTGTAAAACAAAAAACCGGTAACGTTATCGTGCCTCATACAGTTTCTCACCTGCCCACTTCCCCAGTTTAGCGGGTGACACAAGCCGTCCGTTGCCCAGCACCCACAGCTTGATCCCGGATAGGAGCCGGTACACGGAGCACACGGAGATCCAGGCCGCTGTGAGAGCACCGAGCCAGAACAGCGGCGCCTCCACGGCCCGTAACACTGCTTCTCCGCTGGACCACATACCCGCACCGCACGCAGCTCCGACCTTGTTGGCTGTTGGACTTTTGATATCTGTGTTAATGGAAGACGAAGCGCTCACGGTGCACACACACACACACGCGTCCAAAAAATGACTCAAGATGCCACTTCCGTGTTGGACACTACCGCACCATCCCCTTGGCTTTCTGTGATTGGCTCATTTTCTTCTTCTGTTTGCGCCGTGGATAGCGAATTACAGCAAATTAGAGCACTACTACCACCTACTGTTACAGTCCTCCTTCGTCCCTCATCAGTTCCGTAGTTTGTGAAGATGTTAAGTGTGTGTGATGTGGCATATACCGAGCTGTTTTGTTGTTTAACAACTTATGCTTTTCTATCATTTTTTTCCTTTAAAGTTTCTTATTTAATAGGCCTTTGTGTGTTTTACTTCTGATTCAAAACTAATAATATGTTTTACAGTCATCCACTTTCACCCTGCAAGGAATGTGGTTTCAAAGATTTATTTAACAGCATTATCTTACGAATGAGACACTTCCCGATCCTCCTTTGACAAAGGCCTACATCCCATTGTTTGCAATCTTACATATTTGCCTCTTCATCCCACAACCTCTGCAGCTTTAGTAATCCTTCATTCTATCTCTCATTAGTTGTCTCTATGCTTTGCCTTCATCATATGAAATATCTGGAACATGTATTTTCACAATTGCTTACCATTTTTCTCCACCTTCAACGATACACTGTGTATCATTCCCGGGAACTGGAACCTTACACTCTCGTCTTATCTTCTTTATTTTTGCACATACCTTTTCCACAAGTGTCCAACAATTTCACACTGTTGTTTGTGTGTTTCTTTTTCCCAGAGGTTTTGGTGGTTTCTATATTCTGATATTCTGAATTTATGTTATGGGTGTTTCATTAAAATATCTTTTTATTTCTTTATAATTATTTTTTGACAGCCTCTGAGCACCCATTATTCCACCATGAAAGTGTATATACCTCGTTTACAATAGCAATGTGTGTTATTGTACATGCATCATGATTTATTTGCATTAAATTATCAAGCCAAACCTGCAGACTGTGTTTAGAACCTTGTGGGGAAAATGCTTTGAACACACTATTTACACTGTAAATGTTTTATAATTTCTCATATCCCACTTTACTTAAGAGTTATGTACTATATTTATTATGCCTGCTGGTGTTAAATATTATTTTCCAAACTGTTCACTGATGGTGTATTACAGACTGGCTTATAGATCACAGGGATCTGATCAGTTTTCAGACGTTTTACAGGTTATGACAAATTAACCTTTGAGTTTTGTATTGTTTTGTTTTTTGAGTAGGTTAAAATACCTTGCTAGAAAATGAATCAACAAAAATCCAATATGAAATTCCAGCCATTCATAATTGTGGATATTATATTATCACTCAGTATTCTATTACTGTACAAAGTGTCTCTTTACCTAAAAGTTAGTGCCAATTTCACACCCCTGGTGTGTTTTAGTTAATTCTGGGTTTGTTCTAGTAAAAACTAGTAAACTAGATTATAACATTAAACTTCCTTTCTTTCATGTGTTATTGTTTTTATGGAAATACTGCAACTGTAGATAGGTCTCACTTAGGGATCTGTTAACACAATACATATGGCATATTCACCCTGAGAAACTGTAAGAATTATAGTGTAGCAAAGGGACCGAAATGGGGTGTAAATAATAAAACAGTGTGCAAAACTGCATCATGCAGAATTATTCTTGAACTAGATATTTTGTGTTTGTTGTAAAATGTCTAATTTTACAGTTTGCCCAGTGCATGATTATTGCTTAGCCTTGTATGTATGTTTGTTTCCATTCCTTTTAATTTATTTTTACATCATAGAAGTTGCAAGACATAATTGAATCAAACTTAGTACAAGATACACACACACACACAGACACACACACACACACACACACACACACACACACACACACAGGGAGTACGCAATTCAGCCAAGTGGAGCAGACAGCAGTGGTCCATAATGTGAGAGTGAGCGTTACATAAGAGTATTGCATCTAAAAATAGAAATGCAGCAATGGTAAACAGGAGTCTCAACTGTTGGCTCTAAGCTTTCAAAGGAACCTGAATGAAATTTAGATTAAAGGGCCATCTCGGACATAAATGGACCAGCTGCTGATCATGACCAAAAGAAGCTGCAGGCATGTACAGTCAACCTGATGTCCACATGTGAGCGAGTGTGAATGAGGTGGATGAACTGTTGCATTGAAAAAAAAAATATCAAGAGAGGAGTTGACTTGTGACTTTGAGAAAACATACAAACAACAGCTGGTAGGTAAATGTGCATTAAAACTATAGGGCTATATTCAAATCACACAACATGGTGGACAGCACTACATTATTTTTGAGAAGAGACCTTGATGATAAAGAGGTGGGAAGTGGGAGGGATATACAACTATGTACAATGAGAGCAGTGTGTCTGTTATTGGACAAAACACACACGTACAAGAAGAAGAACATCGCATTTATAAAACAATTGCTACACATAATTTACTTATTAAAATCTGTTGGCTTTTACAGGACAAAACACACTTTTTTACATTCTGTAGTTGTATCTGTCAGATTCAACAACAACAACAAAACAGTACATAATTTTCACAGGGTTTTATTAATGTTTATTTCCATTGTGTTATTGCACTGATTACAAGTTTTTAAAAGCGTTGCACATGGCACACATGCAAAATCATGCAAACATACAAAATCAACAAGGACACACTGCTTTTATTTTAAAGCTGCAGTATAAATAGTTAAAAGCAGCATTAATATTGAAACACAGCATCTTCTGAAACAAAACACACACAGTTAACAGCATACAATTAAATTGGAAATCCTTTTATAATCAAAGCAAATGGGGTGACTTTAACATTAACACATTCAGTCATTCTTGGGATAGAGATTTACTTTTTCTTAAACCTATTTATTTATTTGCATATACTCCATAGACATTACGACACGTTTGAATAGAAAAAGAAAAAAGACATGACAAATAAGGCAGAATGAGATCAAATGTAAAATTAAGTTACATTAATTTTAAGAAAACACCCATGAACAGAGGAAATAAAAGTGTAAAGTAAAAGGTAACACACACACACACACACACACACACACACACACACACACACACTCCTACATGTGAAGGACGCACACTGACTCCATGCACACAACTTGTATCTCTTTGTCATCTGTTGTTAAATTGAGAAAAAAACAGTTATGCAGGGGTAAATTTGGAGTTGAGCTTAATGGCATATTCAAAGGAGTTTCACATTTTGAACACATTAATCTTCTTTTCAGTTCAGGATAGCTGAATATTTCCTTGACCTAACAGAGCGTGTGAAGAAATTGTTGTAGATTTGTATTTATTTAGTGTTATGTGCGGTGTATGTCTGAAAACTACTAACAGTAAGATCAGCTGGTTTTACTGAAAACATTTCCACCTAATAAAAGTGCAGGAGCAGAACATGTACACCCAGTTTGCAGGTGCTTGGTGACGTTTCTCTCACTGTAAGATTTCAACAAATTAAGATAGAACAGTAATATTGGTTGCTGTAAATGTTGCATACACATGCACTGGACTTAATTGTAGAGATGTGTACACACACACACACACACACACACATATTCAGCAGTAACGCCATAACAAGAAGGCACATTTACTCCTTACACACAACTTGCACTCTGTGTCATGAAAAAAAAAATTAAATTTAAATTAAATTAAAACGTGCTCACTATCACAACTAAACAATGATACATTTGTCACAGCAGAAGAAGATAAATAAAGGAGCTAGGAGGAGAGCAGTCTCTTTGTTATGTTTCATAGGAAGTGTTTGTCCAGTTCCAAACATGTACCAGCTTTAGGATTCTTTCACACTCACAAAAGAAAACACAAAAATCACTCCCAAATCACACTCTGGTGTACAGTGCAAGGACAGATGTTTACAATGACTCATAAAACCTTATAAAAAGAAAAAGACACACACACAAACACACACAAAACAGCTTTACTCCCTGGATCTAAACTCTGTACAAACTCTAATTTTATTATACCTTTGATTTCTGGAATTATTATATATGTATAAATATATGTATATCTTGGTCAAAGACCTTTTAAAGACTTTTCAAATCTGGTTGTTCCTTACTGTAAACAACATCATCTTTTTGTTGTTGTTTTCACCACCTTGACACCTCACAAAGCAGTAACTAAAGAAAGAGAATGCCTTCTGACTAGTGTGTGTGTGTATTCTGACGTCAGTGTAATTGTTATTACGTCTTTAAGCAGGTGAGCCGATTAAAAAAGAAGGCCTGGAGGGGAAATTGCAGGGAGAAGGAGGCTTAATCACATTCTCACTCTCCCAAATCAGGAGCTCCCTTTTTTTCTGAGCTGCAGGACCGCTCCACTGGATCTGAGGGGGGTTCACTACTTGCTCATGGGCGTGCGTGGGACGGGTTGGGGCCCCTGACCACAGCTCCCATATTAAGTGACTCTCATTAAAATATTTCACAATGCAGATTCAAAGGAGTCGTTCATTCATTCACGTTATCAAAAGGCACAAACACAAGACTGAAGTCAAATCTTAAACATTAACTTTGAAGATGAAGTCTCATTTATCACCTCAAGTTTTCTGAAAATGTCTAGTAATCTATATTACCAATAATAATAATAACAATAATAATATTCTGAATACTTTTACTGTGTGGAGGCTTTGACCAAACAGCGGATTTTCACATTGCAGTGTGGTTGGGATTAAAGTTGCAAAGAGTGCTGCCAATTGAAGTGTTTACACATTGAAATATTACTCATGATTGATTTCAACACAATGTCGTGTTGTGACACATTCTCCTTGTTTTACTGCTGAGCCTGAATAGGAACCGTTTGAATCGTTTACGTGGCTGGTAACTATTGTGACTTGGGCTCATTCTTGCAATAATAAGTGGACGTCCTTTTTCATCGCAGATAATACTGTTAAGCCTAATCACTTTTAAAAGAAGAAAAGGTTGAGTGGAAAAAAATACATTTCCATTCTTGTATTATGTGGTGATCAATAATAATAATAATAATAATAATAAAAAGACACATCAAAATCTTGGGGTGACACACAAGATAGAAAATAAATGCAGTGTAAGGGGGGGTCACGTCGGTGCTATATGAGCATGATGAAAAACTATTGTTTACTTCCCTTTTACAGTTTCTCTCACTCACTCTGTGGATTCCACCTGCTGACCTCGCTGTGGTTTGGTCACTGCTGCTGTCTCCCAGCGGAGTGTGTGTGTGATGTGTAGAGAATCTGTGAGTTCAAAAGGCATAGAGAAAAAAAGTAACATGAGAAAGCAGAAGCAAAACAGTTTTTTTTTTTCTTGCTTAGCTTCAGAAAGATATGGTGTAATGGGAAAATGTAGCAAACACAAATTAGAAGAAACACAGCAGACAACATTTAAAATATTAAGAGCATCCCCATATTCTTTCACTTGTCCAACTTTACTGTTGATGGATTCACAAAGGCATAAGCAAGAGACAGAGTAAAGGTGTATTTGAAAAAGCAAATTCAAACAGCAAGAAAACTGACGTAACAGTAAGTGCACCTCAGGTTTCTCCAGCGGTTCACTGATTTCAGGTCCATCTTTTTCTATTTGACATCGATGCAGAGAACTCAAAAGCCCAGAATCCAAATTTAAAGAAGTAGCTTTACGTAACTTAAACATTATTGAATCTGTGACATTGATGAGGAAATGCTTTTATAATAATCATTTCTATGAACATTACTAAAAGCAAATCTCCACAGCTGATTCACCTCCTTCTCCCTGACAGCTGCCTGTCCAACCTTCAGTCTACG